CGTCCCCCCCCCACACGTGTAACGATTCAGGCCTACAGCAACAGTGGCAAGGCATGTGAGTGTAAAAGTATATAACATACAATTCTGGGGCTGCTACCCTTGTGTAGCTAAAGTGCTGCATATGCTGGAGCTGGTGCTGTCTCTCAAGGCTGGCATCGTGAAAGCTGGCCTGAGGCGAATGGAGCCGCTCCCTGTTGTCAGGGGGTCCCATAGAAGAGACATGTGGGGCAGGAGTACAGGAAGTAGCGCAAGTTCGCCTGCGTTGATTCAGATGGCAACAAGAAAGCCACATGGCAGTGACAGAGTGTAGAAATTCGTGGGTTGCTGCCAGGGTATTCTTGGGTTTACCCCAAACTTGCTTGGTCCAAAGGCCATCGTGCTTTTGTAAGTTCTTCTCGGGTTTAGCACGGACCCAGTGTATCCTCTATACAGGCAGGCTGCTGGCTCTTGCTTTCAAGGCTGGCTCTGTAGGCTGGCGTGATAGTGGGGCCTCTCCCTGTGAGCCAAGGGGTACCAAGTAAAGAATGAGAGGAGGTAAATGAGGGAGGTGATGCGTACAGGTGCGCGCAGAGACTATAACATGCCATTTTGGGGCTGCTGCCCTTGTGTGGCCAAAGTGGCTCCCTATGCTGCTGGTGCTGTCTATTAAGGCTGGCAGAGTGAATTATAGCCTAGGGTGATGCCTTTCAAGGCTGGCACTGCAGGCTGGCCTGTATCGAGACAGGCGTGCAGCAAAGGTGGCAATGCATACGGGTGCACGCAAATACATCACATGCAATTCTGGGGCTGCTACCCTTGCATAACGAAAATGAGCTGCTTATGCTGATGCCGGTGTTGTCTATCACGGCTGGCACCGTAAGGGCTTGCCTGATGTGGAGCCACTCCCTGTAGGTCAGGGGGTCCCAAAGTAAAGAAAGGTGAGACAAGATAAAAGAGTGAAGTGTAATTTTGCCCACCCGCCCCATGCTCCTCCAATGTCCCCATCCCCAGATGCATAGTACGACTGGCAACCAAGCAACAAATATAAGCAGCGACGTCTATAGCGAAGTATACCAGTTCTTGGGATGCTGACCAGGGTTTTTTGGGTTTGCCCCAAACCAACAAGGTAGTTTGTGAGGCTATAGCTGACGTAGTAATGTCGACAGCCTGGGATGGGAGGAGAGAGATGTAGTGGTAAGGTCACTGCCGACGCAAGCAGAATTGTAAGTAAGAGAATGGCAAGTATAGTTCTCCTTGTCACTGGCCCCTCGGCTTGCTGACGGGAGTATGGGGGAGGGTGATCAGTGGTCTATGTTCTGCGGTAGTCGAAGCACAGGTGGTACTTGTGGTCGATGTCATGGTATTCCTGCCGCAGACTACTGCTGAGGTGCGCGTAGCTGTACCGGTATGGACAGTCATGCATAGTTGTTGCTGTCGTTCGGTCTGGTCTGAGGCATGGCTTTTGGTGGTGCCTTGAAGATACATGGCTGCTCCTTGCGTGGTGGTGCGTCCTTGGCGGGTATGTCTTGTTGGTTGCTGCGCGTGTGGATGTTGGCAAAGTTCTGCTCGTATCGTGCCTGGTGTGAGCGTGCAGTGTCGATGTACTCGTGGAAGCGTGTGTCCCCTGTCGTGCGCGACGATGGGTCCGCGGCTGTCACGTTGTGTTGCACGTTAGTGGTGTGTATGGGGGATTCTGTACGCATTTGACATGGGACGTATGATTGTAAGGTTGCGTTTGTATGTGGCGCAAGGCGGTGCATGGGTACCTCTTGTAGCCATCGCTGTGTCAGAACGTCTTCGTGGGGGGGCAGGCAATGGGTATTTTGAGCGTTGGAGGTGGTGTGTGTGCGTGTATGGTGGCCCTTGCTGTAGGTGACCACGAGGTGACGGCCTTCGTGTGTGGTAAGGCACGTGTGCTTGTGGTAGTGTTGTTGATGATGGTGTGTGTGTGTCTCAGGCAGTGGTGGTGTTTTTGTACCGAAATGGGTGGCTGGCAGTGGTGTTGTTTTCCCCGGCAGGTCTGATGTTTGTGAGTGGTGGTGGTGCAAGTAGTATTGCTGGTCGGTCGTTCGTCGGGTTGGTGGTTGTCGGCGTGTCCTCCTCGCTTGTGCTGTGATTGTCTGTAGGCTGCGTGGGCCTGATAATGCTGGGAGCCGCCGTCGGATTGCATATTCCTTGTAGGATTGCTGCCGCGTCGTATATTTTGACCGCCCAGTCGTACTTCATTTTGTTGCCGACATCATGGCATGCGTTGAGCCATTGTGCTTCTTATATCGCTGCGATCGATTTGTGCTTCCGCGGTGCATGCCCGCCTGCCAACAATATGTGGGAATGCTGGCTGGTGGCAGTTACTGCTAAACGAAATGTCGCATCGGTGCGGTAGTGGCTGGCACATGCATCCATGATGTTGCCGTGGCTGAGCAAGGGTAATTGGTTTTGGGGTTTTGGCGGTGGTAGGAAAGTGTCGGCGTGTGTGGCGTCCTCGAGCTTGAAATATAGTCGGTTTCGGTCGTGAGTGGTA